AGTTTTTATTGACTCTCCCTCAATGTGGATGCATTTTCCTCCTTTGCCTGTCAGGGTTGGTTTTTCTTTTCTTTTCTTTTTTTTTTAAAGCTGATAGTAGACATGGTAGTTTTGGCTTTTGAGTAACAAGTAGTTCTATATTTCCATTATCTGAATTTTGTTCTAAAATTTGGTAAATCTTAAATTTTAAAAATTGTGTGTGAGTTATGCACATATTATGTGTGTACATGTGCACAGTCCTGAGATAAGCCTGTCTCTGTGCCCTTCTCCCAGGCACTGGGATTATGGACACACACCGCCACACCTGGCTTTTATGTATGTAATGGGGATCCAAATGCAGTTCTTCAGGTTTGCATGACAATTTAAGGAATGAGTCATCCTTCCAGCCCAAGAATGATATAAATTAACCATGTGCTTGATTGTCTCAGATCTCGAAGTTTTATAAGGTGGGGCTCGAACAGCATTTTAATGGGAGGCTAACACAGCACTGCTTCTGAGACAGAACCCTGTGCTCTACCTGGTGCCTGCAAGAACTCCTGAGATTCCCCTCCAACCTCTAACTCCAAGTTAATTGCCTTGCCTTGGGCAGTCTTTTTCCCCCCCCCCCCCCATACTGCAGTAAGCTCAGTGGTGAAGAGGTTCCCTCTTGCAGGTCTCCTGGGTTCTCCGTGCATCCATTGTGGTTCAAGTACAAATCATCTCCCATAGGCTCATGTGTTTGAACATCTGGGAAGTTGTGGAACTGTTGGGATATATAGCTAATACAGGTGGTTGCAGGAGGGCCTTGAAGGTTATACCCATCTCTGGTATATAACTCAACAGTTCTGCTTCCAGATCTACCAGCATGTGAAGACCTACCACCTCACAGTCCTGCTGCCATGAATGGATGCTTCTACCATCATGCCTGCTATTGTGATGGATTGGCTCTTCTGAAATGCTAAGCCCAAATAAACCCATTTTCAGACAGGTTGCTTCTGTGGCGGCATCTGTCACAGTGAGTTCCACATGTCCTTAGAAGGCTGGTTTTCTATGTAACCACTGCAGCCCTCTCCAATTCTCCTTCTACGTGCTGGAGACTGAGGGTGGTTCAGGCGTAGGTGAGCAGAGTCCCCGGGGCTCCTCCACCTATTTCAGATGGCTCAGTCACTGCAGGCCTTGGTTATTTGATAGCCAATGTCTTGAAAACTCACCATTTCATGTTTTGTCTTTAATATTTCTGACAGTTCAAAAGCAGTAAACAGCTGGAAGCAGAGGTTTCCTTGAGGGGGTTGGGAAAGATGATAAGGCTATAATCTCCAACAGTGTGATGGGGCAGGCCTCATTGAGAAGGTGACATTTAAAAACTCAAACAAAAATGAAAGAATAAGTCATTAAGATAACAGGGAGAAGGGCTGCCAGGTGGAGAGAGGAACCCCAAGCAGTTGGCTGTGTCTTTGCCACGAGCTTCCTGGTGGGCTCTAGAGACTAGGCCAGAACAGATGTGGTGAAGTGGGCCTAGAGATTGGGATGGCAACGGCAACAAATGAGAGGGGGGGAGAGAACGAGAGAGAGAGAGAGAGAGAGAGAGAGAGAGAGAGAGAGAGAGAGAGAGAGAGAGAACACCCAGCAGCATTTAGCTTATGCTCTAGGAAGGAGGAAGGACAGACATGGACACAAACTTCTGGACAACTAGATGTGGTCAGAGCACAGACTTCTGGAACAGGGATGGAAGACTAAGGACACTGAGCTAGAGTCCAGAAGCCCGAGCTATTCTGGTGTGCATATGACAAAGGGGATGCAGCCTAGCGGGGGGCACCATGCCCCAAGTTCTCAGCATTCCAGAGAGGCATGAGACTTGTACCATGCATTCCCAGAAGTGTAAGAGTGTTCCTGGGACACGTTGTGAACACTCACTGTCAGCACGCTTCCAGAATGACCTAAAAATCACTAAATCACTGGAGGAGATGGTGATCAGTGTTAGCTGTGGCTAGCAGTCACCAAAGTGTCTGCCACTGGGCTACCCTTTCCTCCTACTCACATACAGTCACTTTGTCTAGTGACTAGGGCTAGAAGATGCCAATTGAGTTTAATCTATTAATGATGACTCTGTTAGGAAAATACTTGCGATGAAGATGAGCTGCAACTGCTGGCTAGCTGGAGGAATCCATGTGGTATCTCAATAGAACTTACAGATGCACCATCTTTGGGGTGTGCATGGGGATTTTCAACTTCTAGGTCAGTTGTTCTCACCTGGGAGTCAAAGCCTCTTTGGGGTTACATATTAGATATACTGCAGAGTATATACTTATATTATGATTCATAACAGTAGCAAAATTCCAGCTATGAAGTAGCAACAAAATAATGTTATGGTTGGGGATCACCACAACACAAGGAACTGTATTTGAGGGTCACCACATGAGGAAGGTTGAGAACTACTGCTCTAGAAGACAGTTGCAATGCTGGGCTCTCTCTCTAACTGTCCTCTGAAAGGAGGATGAGCTAAGAGAACCCCAGGTGGCCTTTGTCCTGGGGTCTGCCTTCAAATGATGCCAGCCTTCCAGGCACCCCTAGTAGGGGCATCTATGTTTCTCTTCCTGCTCTGACCATATATCTCCTCCACACTCTGTTTCCTCATCTGCTAAAGTTGAGTTCAAAAGTTTCTACCTGGAGTGTTGTAGTCAGGGCTGCATTTGACAGTCCCAGGAAGATTGTCCAACCTGGGAAACTGTGAGCTCCTAGAACATGGGCATCCCTCTACCTGTCACCTTATCCTGTGTTGTGGTTTTGAATAGGTATGGTCCCCACATGTTTGAATGCTTGGCCCATAGGATGTGACACTATTAGGAGGTGTGGCCTTGTTGGAGAAAGTGTATCATAGTGCAAACAGGCCTTGAGGTCTCCTATGCTCAAGCTATGTCCATTGTGGGACTCAGTTTACTTCCTGTTGCCTGTGAATCAAGATGTAGAACTCTCAGCTCCTTCAGCTCCTTTTCCACCACCATGTCTGCCTGGACATTACTGCCTTGCTTCCCACCATGAAGATAATGGACTAAACCTCTGAAAGTATAAGCCACCCCAATTAAATGCTCTCGTTTATAAGAGTTGCTGTGGCCATGGTGTCTCTTCCCAGCAACTGAAACTCTAAGACACCCTGCAAGGAAGGTATGCAATGCCCTCACCCCTAGACAGGGGTGGCCAGAAATGGGGAGATGACTTCTGTCTTGTCCCTAACTTGCACTATCTTACACTGGCTGGGCAGGTTTGCCTGACATACTTTGCCTCACTAGCTCAGGGTCAAACACCTCAGGAGACACAGTGACCACTGTGTCCAGATATTTGCTTGGCACTTTCTCTTTCTCCATTCCAGGGGCCTCCAGCCTTTCTGTTCCTTTTGAGTCCCCAGCATCCTCCCCAGGACCTATCTATGTGGTCTTCATACTGATGTCACACCTTTTTCATCAATGGTCCCTAGAAACCCACTCTCTCTTGACTCTCCAATTCATTCTAGTGAATCCATGCCGTGGCTGATGGTGACCATCAGGTATCATGACAGCAGCTGGGGACAATGGAATTCCAGGATTGATCACATCAGTCAGGCAGGGAGGAGCCTATGTTGGAGAGAGAATTCAGGACCACATTGTGGGCAGATGTTCTTGGAAGAGCAAGCTAATAGGTAGCACCAGACTGGCTCTGAAGTGATGTTTTCTGTGCCTGTAAAGTGGCAGGTAGCATCCAGCTGAGAGATGTTAGCTCAATGTCCTGAACCAATTCACATTTAAACATGAAGCACCCAAGAGTTACCATAGCATCTCTGGGTACTATAACATCTTTGGGTATCATAGTATCTCTTGTGTCTCTGAGAGTCCACCATCCTCCACCCAGGGACTTCATTCTGGAAGTAGCCTCTATGTAGCTGTTAACTCTGGGGTTGGGTCTGCCCTGAGTTCCTGTATTTAGAGGCTGGCCATTCTACTGCATATCTTCCTTGAGACTACATGCTATTCTGGCCCAGGACTTCAACAAATGCCCCAAATTGCATTGTGGGGGCTTCTGTACTTCATATATCCCTAGCTACTTCTGTTTCTGTCCCAGGTGATCCACCTGCACCTCAGGCCAAGCCTCACTGCCAAGCACCATTTGAACCACCAGCTTCTCCTGCATGTTTCTGGTGTTGTGCCACTCCTGCCTGTCCCACGGGTAGCCATACACAAGGTAAATGACCTGTCACAGATCCTTGCACATTCCTCTTGACACTCTCTACACATAGAACTGGTCAATCATGGGCCTCACTGTTTGCAGTACGGTGAGCGAGTCTGCATCGTGGGGTGACCAGATTTGGCTCCCAGTCCTTCCACTATTACCTATACACTAGGCAAACCATTTGGCATGAAAATTGAGCTTGATTTGGTAGTATTGTTTGCAAGCTGGAGGTAGATTCTAGAGAGTTCTGATGAGGACTAATGGGGCTCATGAAGCTAGAGCTCTAGGATCAATCATATTGGCAATGGTCAATAAATGCTGTTTGCGATAAAATTTTTATAAATTATTATTTTATAAAATTAATATGTCATTTAATAAATTCTCTCCATCTGATATCCTCCAGTATGAACCAGTTTTTAGCTCTCTTCTTTAACTGGGCAGGATTTGAAATCAGGTGACATCACATCATTTCTAAGAAGTGTAACTGTATTTCCTTTGTCCTAAAGATTTCATGCTAAAACACAGGGATCTTGGTGTCAGTATCCCCAGTGCATCCTCCTCAAAAGTGACCCATATACAGGGCTGGGAATGGATAGATGCTGGCAAAAGCATGTGCTGATACCCATAGTTGGTTACATGAAACACACCTGTGCAAGTACCTATGAGGATGTGTGCACAAGCACATACTCGGATGCCTATGCATACACACGGTCACACACATCTATGTCCGAGATACCCACGACCTCCGGCAGAATCTGGACTTGCAGAGGGTCTGCTGGACATGTGTGTCTTCCTAAGTCTGCCCTTCCCTGGCTGCTTACCTCCATGTTTCTGCAGAAGGTAGCATTGGTGCCAAACAGAATCTGGCACTGCTCGTTGGCGCTGTAGTGCATGCCTGGCAGCTTGTGTGAGAGGCGCAGGGCATGCTGACTCCTGGGGTCAGTGATCAATAAACAGGTACTGACTTTGGATCTGAAAAAGCCAAGAAGCAGGTCAGTTTCCAGACGTACTAGCCCATCTGTGTTCTGATTTTTCAGTCTCCGAGAAGGATGCACCTCTGATGATTCATGGAACAAGGGCCTCAGCACTGAACATCTGGGTTACCCTTTTGGTGTGTATGTTCTTTTATTCTATGGCTTCATGTGGGTCTCTGCTCTGATGACAATGCAGAAATTATTAGAACCTTAGGAACAGATCTTTCTTGGGGGAGGGTGGTGATTTTTTTTTTTTTAATTAGAATACTCTGAACACTCTTAGACTATAGCTTTGAGCAAAAGTCACCATGAACAAAAAAGAACATAAGTTAAGGCTATTTTATTTTTAATAAACTCAAAGTTCTGATATCTGATGCCATGGAGTCTCTTTAAGGGATTTCTGGGCCAAAGCAACCATGCCAGTCTTGATGTCTCACCTGGCCATACCTCCTGCTATCTCAGAAGGCAAGCCAAGGGTTTACTCTGTCAAGAAGAACTTCCAGGTATCTACTAGGAAGGGAATGTCCATTTACAATGGAAGATAAATTTCCCAAAAGGGGCTCTGTTAGGAGATATAATACCCAATGCTTTATTTCCTATCTTTAAAGCAAGGCAGATGAAAACTCGACACTTGCCAAAACTCTGGAGAAAGGAGTGGTGTGTGTGTGTGTGTGTGTGTGTGTGTGTGTGTGTGTGTGTGTGTGTGTATACATATATGTATGCATATATACACACAGCTGAGGCTAGTACACAGTGCCCCAGCTCAGTCACAACACATTTGTTACTTGTGGGACCAGCACTATGCATCTGAGCATCCTATCTTGTCACCCTGAACCTTCTGGGTGATATGGAGTAAAGCCAGTTATACAACATATTTTAGGAGTCTGTGATTACAATACTTGATGGAAGTAGACTATCTTAAAACCAGTGAATTAATTTCTAACTTCTAAGCCTATTTACCAAACACCTTTTCCATCCATAGGAAAAATGAAGAAGACCCTTTAACTACTTCAACCCATACTCCCTGGGTCCTGTCAAATCGAGTTGGTCTGTCAAACTCAACCTGCCAGTGAGACTCTCTGACTCACTTCTATTTCCACTTCATGTGGAATACATAACATAGTAGGGAAGCAATCAGGACCCACACATCAACACTGTAAATTCAGCCCTTAAATCAGACACCAAGGGGCCAACAAGAACCATAGGTATACTTGCTTTAACAAGGGTCTAAAACCAAAGAAGAAACTGTTCCATGGAAATCTGAGAACCAAGAAGCATAGACATTCTTTAGGAAGAATAGGCTGCGGGGAAGTAGATCCCTTCCTCCATAAAGGAGGGAAGCGTACAAACATAATCCAAGATAATTCATTCCCATCAATGGAAGCAGCTTCAGCAAACAGTGGGTTCTAAGTTCTACACCATCCAAGTTGTCCTACAGTAGTGCCCACTTGTGGTCACAGACTGGAGAGAAGTGCAAGGCAGACTCACCTGGCTGGTATTTCATTCAACCAATCATTAAATGATTCCCTATTGGACATATGCCATCATACCAGGTACAACCTCAGGAAGGGGCCTTTTCCTATTGTAGGACACTCTGATCACCTTCCAAGCCAGATGAGGATTCATCTAAATGTACTTGTCACACTTGCTAAGTTGCCCATCTTTGGTCTTTGGGGAAAACTTCCTATTGTTGATGCTGCAGAATGACTCAAAGACTTACTTGAGAAAGTTCTCGAGGTCATCTCGACTACAGGATGACCAAGAGAGGTCACTAGGGTTCCGGCCTTTCACCCACTCTCCTGACATGATGTGCGACCGGCCAGCACAAGATGAGTGGTCATCATCGTGGTTCATTCCCAGGCTGTTCAGAGAGAAAGAGAAAGAGTGTGTGATGCTATGCCCCACATGACTCATTTCTAGGTCCTGGGTCAACTGTAATCAAGGTGAAAGTATAGAGATTGGTGTTGGATGATAATGTTCACACACTATAGACCATAGTTTGTTCAAAGAGAACTGAGGTAGTTTGATTACAGAATTACAAAGACTGAGCAAAAACAATTAATGATGAGTGAATGAATGAATCCTTAACCATTATAGTTAATGACAAGTATGATAGTTAATAAAATCCGAGATAGGGACCCCCACTGCCGGGCCTCTGCTGGAGGTGAGTCTGTAACCAGTTCAGGTCGAATCCCCCCACACCTTTTCCTGGGAACTCCCTGGGTTAAACACGGAATCTCACTCTTCCCTATATTCTGTCCCCAGAGGGAATACTCCTAGTACTCTCATCCACAAATCACTCAACCCAGAACCTGCCCTCCTCCCACCCTGTGCCCTATTGAACCCACTGCCCCACTTCTCTGGTTGAGCACTAGGCCAGAGGGCGGGTCCAACAATCCTGCCACTTTTGGGGAACTTCCTGGATCTGCTCTGAGCACACTAGACCAGCTTATCCATGAGGGACCACCTTGAGTTCCCTCTTGCCTGACCTTTGATCCTTCACCAGGCCTCTGCCCGAGAAACCCATTGCCAGGCCCCTGCCAGAGGAGAGACCTCCTAGAGAGCTTGGACCACCCAGAGCTACAGACATCAAACTCCTGACCCACCTATGCCCATGGGGAGAGTAGCATAGAGAAAGAAAGACTCCACCTGCACCAACTGGAAGAAGCTATTGGAAGACAGCAACACAAGAAAACACCTAACAATAGAAAGACAAGCATGACACCACCAGAATCTAGGGACTCTACACCAACTAGACCTGAACACACCAAAGCATATGAAGCAAAAGAGAATGATTAAAAAATAACTTCATAAAAATGATAGAGGCCCTCAAAGACAATGTGAGAAAAATCCCTTAAAGAAATGGAAGAAAAAACAAACAAAAAATGGGAAGAAATGAACAAATCTCTTAAAGAAAGTAAGGAGAGCCAAGAAAAAACAATCAAACAGGTGAAGAAAACACTTCAAGACTTGAAAACTTGAATAGAGACAATAAAGAAAACACAAACTGAGGGAATACTGGAAACAGAAAAACTAGGCAAACTATTGGGAACTACAGATGCAAGCATAACCAACAGAATACAAGAGATGGAAGAGAGAATCTCAGGTGCTGAAGATAAACTAGAGGAAATAGATTCATCGACCAAAGAAAATCTTAAATTGAACAGATCCTTAACTCAAGACATCTAGGAAATGTGGGACACAGTGAAAAGGTCAAACCTATGAATAATAGGCATAGAAGAAGGTGAAGAAGCCCAGCTCAAAGGTGTAGAAAACATATTCAACAAAATCATTGAAGAAAACTTCTCCAATCTGAAGAAGGATATGCCCAAGAAAGTACAAGAAGCATACTGAACACCAAATAGATTGGATAAAAGTAAAAGGACCCCTTGACACATAATAATCAAAACACCTAATGTACAGAATAAAGAAAGAATATTAAGAGCAGCGAAGGAAAAACGCTAGGTAACATAAAGGCAGACCTATCAAAATTACACCTGAATTGAGAGTCTCCATGGAAACTCTCAAGTCCTAGATAGATGTTCTACAAGTACTAAGAGTCCACAGATGCCAGCATAGGTTACTATACCCAGCAAAACTCTCAGTCATTATAAATGGAGACACAAAGATATTCAAAGACAAAGCCAGATTTTCACAATACATATCTATAAATCCAGCTCTACGGAAAGTTCTGGAAGGAAAACTGCAACCCAAGGAAGTTAACGACACTCACAAAAACACAGGCTATAGATAATCCCACTTCACCAGAACCCAAAGGATAAAGCAGGGCAAATATATTCACAATAACACCAATAACAACAAATCTAAAACAAACAAGAATTAACAATCAATGGTTCTTACTTTCTATCAACATTAATGGTCTTATCTTGCCTACAAAAAGACACAGGCTAATGAAGACAGAATCCATCCTTCTGCTGTATACAAGAAACACATCTAAGCTTCAAAGACAGACATTACCTCAGGGTAAAGGGCTGGGAAAAGATCTTCCAATCAAATGGAACTAAGAAGCAAGCAAACTCATGGAAACTGAACAATCCACAATTGCACCATACCTGGGTCAAAGAAGAAATAAAGAAAGAAATTAAGGACTTCCTAGAATTCAACGAGAATGAGGACACAACATACCTGAACTTATGGGACACCTTGAAAGCAGTGTTACAAGGGGAAGTTAATTGCACTAAGTGCCCATACGAAGAAAACAGAGGATAGCCTCATTAGAGAATTAACAGCACAACTGAAAGCCTTAGAACAAAAAGAAGCAAACACACCGGGAGGAGTAGACACCAGGAAATAATCAATTTGAGGGCTGAAATCAATAAAGAAGAAACAAAGAAAACAATACAAAGATTCAATAAAACAAAAATTGGTTCTTTGAGACAACCAACAAGATAGACAAAACTTTATTCAACCTAACCAAAAGGCAGAGAGAGAACATGCAAATCAACAAAATCAGAAACAAAAGGGGGGATACAACAACAGGCACTGAGGAAATCCAGACAATTTTCAGGTCACACTTTTAAAACCTATACTCTACAAAATTTGAAAATTCAAAGGAAAAGGATAAATTTCTGAATAACTATCACTTACCAAAATTAAATCAAGAACAGATGAGCAACTTAAATAGACCTATAACCCCTAATGAAATAGAAGCAGTCATCGAAAGCCTCCCAACCAATAAAAGCCCAGGGCCAGGTGGCTTCAGTGCAAAATTCTACCAGAAATTCAAGGAACAGCTAATACCAATACTCCTCAAATTGTTCCACACAATATAAACAGAAGGTTCATTACCAAACTCTTTGTACGAGGCCACAATCACCTTGGTACCTAAGCCACACAAAGACACAACTAAGAAAGAGAACTACAGACCAATATCCCTCATGAACATTGATGCAAAAATACTCAATAAAATACTGGCAAATCGAATCCAAGGACACATCAGAGAAATCATCCACCATGACCAAATAGGCCTCATCCCTGGGTTGCAGGGATGGTTCAACATATGAAAATCTATCAATGTGATCGACCATATAAACAAACTGAAAAAGAAAAACCATGTGATCATCTCACTAGAAGTTGAAAAAGCCTTTGACAAAATCTAACACGTTTTCAAGATAAAGGACTTGGAGAGATCAGGGATAACAGGAACATACCTAAACATAATAAAAGCAACATACAGTAAACCAATAACCAACATCAAACTGAATGGAGAGAATCTTAAGGTGATTCCTCTAAAATCAGAAACAAGACAAGGCTGCCCTCTCTCTCCATATCTCTTCAATATTGGACTTGAAGTTCTAACTAAAGCAATAAGACAACAAAAGGAGATCAAGGGGATCCAAATTGGAAGGAAGAAGTCAAACTGCCACTATTTGCAGATGATATGATAGTTTATATAAGTGACCTGAAAAACTCGACCAGGGAACCCCTACAGCTGTTAAACACCTTCAGCAAACTAGCAGGATACAAGATAAACTAAAAAAAAAAAATCAGTAGCCCTACTATACAGACGACAAAGGGGCAGAGAAAGAAATCAGGAAACATCACCCTTCACAATAGCCTCAAACAACATAAAGTATAACGCTTACCAAACAAGTGAAAGACCTATATAGAAAGAACTGTGTGTCTTTAAGGAAAAAAGTTAAAGAAAATACCAGAAAAATGAAAGATCTCCCATGCTCTTGAATAGGTGGGATAACATAGTAAAAATGGCAATTTTGCCAAAAAAAAAAAAAAAATCTACAGATTCAATGCAATCCCCATCAGATTCCCAGCACAATTCTTCACTGAACTTGAAAGGATAATACTCAACTTTATATGGAAAAACAAAAGACCCATGATAGCCAAAGAAACCCTGTAAAATAAAGGAATTTCAGGAGACATCACCATCCCTGACCTTAAGCTCTACTATAGAGCTATAGTCCTGAAAACAGCTTGTATCGGCAAAAAAATAGACAGGTAGACCAATGGAATCGAATCAAAAATCCTGATATTAACCCACACACCTATGAACACCTGATTTTTGACAAAACAGCTAAAAGTATACAATGGCAAAAAGAAAGCATATTCAACAAATGGTGCTGGCACAACTGGATGATGGTGTATTGAAGCCTGCAGATAGACCCATGTCTATCACCATGCACAAAACTCAAGTCCAAATGGATTAAAGACCTCAACATAAATCCAGCCACACTGAACCTCTTAGAAGAGAATGTGGGAAGTACCCTTGAACAAACTGGTACAGGAGACCGCTTCCTGAACATAATAAAACACCAATAGCATAGACACTGACATCAACAATTAATAAATGGGACCTCCTCAAACTGAGAAGCTTCTGTAAGGCAAAGGACACAGTGGGCAAGATCAAACAGCAGCCCACAGACTGGGAAAAGATTTTCACCAACTCCACATCTGACAGAGGGCTGATCTCCAAAATATACAAAGAACTCAAGAAATTAGTCATCAAAACACCAAATAACCCTATTAAAAAGTGGGATATTATTGCATTTTAAAATTCAACTCCCTTGTCAATGCTAGGCTAGGCAGACATGGGCTTAGTTTTACGCATTACTACACATTTACTACAGTCCATTGATACTGCACAATGTGCTGGAAGTATTGAATACCTCATATTTGTGACAGGTGTGTAATTAATTTCATACTGGGGCAGACAGCTCAGGATGAGAACCATCTCCCCTGGGATAAACACTATCTACCCCTCCCAGGTGGGTATCACTTTCCCTAAGGGTCAAAGAAAGACCTAGAAAAAGATTGACTAATTCTGTCCAATGAAACAATTTAGATAAATCCCCATGGCCATTTGGATATATAGATTGAGTTCTT